AAGAAGGGAAGAGCTCAGACCAAGAGAAAACAGAGCACTGAGAAGAGGAGACCCTGGCTGGGAAGAAGGGGGTGGTGGTAGTGGTGGTGCGTAACAGGGGGTGTGGACTCAGGAGCTAACTCAGTACCCTGTCACTCAAATCCCCTCCAGTTTATATCAACTGTTTGGCATTTCGCAGAAGAGGCCAATTAAATGAATGGAGGTACAGCTGAGGATCTAATTGGATGGAAGTATCCCCTGTATAAGCAAATGGAAGGAAGTGCTGAGAGGAAAGTTGGGAGCCGGAAGGAAGGCAGAAGTAGGCAGGATTACTCTCTCGGAGACAGATGAAGTACCAGAGCAGACCTTGTGATGCTTTGGAACTCCTCTCCTTCAGGGAGGAATTACTTTTAGAATCTCTACTGGGATGGAAAATCCCCTCCTCTTCCCCCACCGCACATTTTAAAATTAAATAATAGTTGACGGCTCCAAACTGCAGAGGACTGAGGACTTTTTGTCAACATTTAACGCACAACTTAGAATTGCTTTAAGGCAGAATTTTATTTGCCTCTGATAACTAGTATATTAGAGATTCTCAGCGTTGGGACAAAGAAGAGTCTCCTTCAACCCTGGTGCAGCTAAAACAACAGCCATTAAGTTGATCTTCCCCCATGCATCCCACACTGCTGCCTGCCCTGGAGCGGATCTGCACACGCCAAATGTCCACACACAAACCTTTTTCCGCTAGGAACACCGCAAACGAGATTCAGATGTCTGCTGAGAAGTAGGATGTTTTCAAATGGCCTCAGTGAATGATGTGTTTGTTCTTCGTGGGATGTGGTGTTGGGGTTTCCTGGTTTTTTCCAGGGCTTGTCACTAGAAATCCTAGTGAAATTATACACAGAAGGAGCCGTTGATTCTGTGTGCAGGGAACAGCTACTTTTAAACCTATCCATAAATGTCTCCACCCTTATTCGTGAGGAATTATATTAGTCTATAAACCATCAGAGTCAAACCATGTGGACCAGCAGCAAAATTCTATTACAGAGAACAGCTTTGTTCTCACTTGCTTATTGTCAGATGTTTGAGTTAAACAGGTGTTAGAGGAATTTTTTTTTTAAATGTTGCTACAAAAGTTTATTAGCCATTTATAAAATAGTTTGCCAACCTGCCTCTTCCATAGTTCCCAAGATAGCCTGCTCTCTGCTAACTTCAGTTCTGCTTTCCATTTTAAAGGGAGGCTTGGAAAGACTCGATTTTTATCAATAAATGCTGATAAATGTCAATTCCACCATCCATGCACAAACTGAGGAAAACGTATTTCCATTGATAACAATAGAGAATTACAGCTAGACAAGTAAGAAAAATGCGGTTTGAGAAGTTATTAGAGTTTGAATTAAGGATGTTTACTTTGTATATTTTGACATGTGGTGGAGACAGCTTGTGTTTTACCAATTATAAAGCTTTAACTCTTTGAAATCAAAGTCTACTGTCATTAAATAATTATCTGACCTGCCCTGTCTGAACCCCCACCCCATAATTTCCTGCAATTGTGAACATTTAAATTGATAAACAATGGGAGGGGGGGAAGCTTAAAAATGGATATCCCTTGAAATTATATATATAAAAAATCAAATTCTGACATGCCTATTTATAGAGCTTAGCTTCGGAATGCATCCTCAGTGTCAAAATGGCACTGTGAGGTTTCAGTCACACAGCAGAGCACCGTGCATATCTGAACTTGTGGCTGTCAGCTGGGAAAGAGGTATACAGTACGAAACCGAATGGATGGCTTCCTCACCTTCTTCTCCTACCCTGTCTCTTGTCCCCAGGGCCTCCCCATTCCCTGGCATCCAGCCTCCTCTTTCTCTCTCTCTCTGCTCCTGGCCTGCTGTCTTATTTCATTCTGTTGCTGAAGAGCGGGCTTTCCCTGTGGACATCACTCAGAGAGTCTGCTCTGCACGAGACAGTGTTCATAGTGCCCTCTCCCAGCTCAGAGATTTTCCCAGCATTCATTTCAGGGAGCAGCGATGATGTTCTTGAACGTCAGCCGCGGCTTCAACAAAAACAGGTACTCTCCACCTTTGAGAAGTCTGCACCCTTCTGTCTCCTGAACCTCACCCTCCGACTTCCTCTTGCAGCCTTTTCACCTGGGCAACCAAGGCGAAGAAGACATGGGCCATCATCAGGAAAGAGAGGGAGAGAATGCTGCTGGAGCAGCTGATTCCCAGAAAGCCGAGTTCCCTCTTTGTTGTACGTTTATTACACTGAGCATGGGAAATGCTCTCCAGCCCTGCAGGATGGAGCAGTCGCTGCAGATAAGGTTTATTGCCATGAAATGCTGTAAAGATTGAAACATAGACCTTGCCATTTCTCCCTTTACTTCTTCTTTCAACTCTTATTCTGGCGTCCTTTTATTTTCCTGATCCCAGACGCTACTGATTGTATCCCTATATCCTTGCCTGGCCTGGCAGCCGCCTTTACACCTGTTTTAATTAAATCAGGAAAGATTTATAGGGTGCTGGGTTGGGCCAGGGGTCCCAGGCAGTCTTGATACTTCTCTGATAAGTAGGATTCTAATTCAGATGCTGTGTAGGAAGCTATCAGATATTGTGTAATAAATCCCAGGTGCTGCTCTTAGGGACAGTGAAAATGTCATCTTTCTTTTGCCCGTCTTTTAAGGGGCTGTGGGGGGATTTTTTTGACCATAGATTATAAGGCCAGACAGACCTGTTGTGACCATCTAGTCTGACCTCCTCCATAACACGGGCAATAGGCCTTCCCTGAATGAGTTACTCTTTGAACTAGAGTGTATCTTTTAGAAAAAAAAACATCCAATTTTTATTTTAAAATTGCCAGTGATGGAGAATCTGCCACGACCTTTGGTAAGTTGCTCCAGTGTTCCATGATGCTACTGGAGTAGTATTCCAGGTGCACCTTTCAGGCAGTTTTTGCCATGGTGATCTTTAACCAGCCTAATTCAGTCGAGCTGGGAGCTATTGAGACACTGCTTATAATCAGGAGTCAGCAGAAATCATGGAATAATTGCTCAGTGTCAGAGAGAGATTGTACCCAGAAGGTAAGGTCTGGTTATACCATCTTCAGATAAAATTTGGTATATGGGGAAAATCAGAGATAATAAAAATTATTTCTACGAAAGAACTATCATCGAATTAGCACAGTAATTAGCAGGTGTCCGAAGAGCATTTCATGAAGGAGCCTGTAGTTTCTGCAATGTTGGGTCTCTGTATTTAATATGAGAGTGGCTAATTTATTGCTCTATTTTATCCAAATTAGCTATGGCCAACAGCTAGGAAAAATTTGGGCACCTGTGTTGATTATGGATGCTGTCTTTATACATTTTTTTTTTAACAAAAGGCACCTAGGTGAGGAAATGACAGAATTAAGGTCGCACAACCTTATATTCTTGTTCTGTGTTTGTACAACAGACACTACAATGATACAATAATTAATAATGATGGTAGTCTTTAATTATGTGATCATATATTCATTCCCTGCCTAATTCCATGCACAGTGGATGAGGTAGTTGTAGACTATTTTTCTTTTATCCTTCTGTGCACCATCTAAATCCTGCACTGAATACAGCTCTGTAAATTTCAATCCGTGAGTACTATGTATCTGTCCCCTGAATGAAGCAGGGATACAGGTGGAAAAAAGAGTGCAATTCAAGTCTATATCATAACAGGGATCCAAGAAATCCGTTTGCCACGAATTTGAGTTTTTTTACAGAGAATGTTGAGTTTTTACATTCTGTGGAAAAAAGAAAAACATACCGTAGAACCCTGTTTATCTGAGCCTTCATTATCCGGCTCTCCCTATTATCCTGGGTCAGGGCTTGGGCTGTCAGCCCCCTGCGGCGGGGCTCCCTATTGTAGCTGGAGAAACTAAAGTTCAGCGTTTCATTTTAATTGTGGAAAAACATAGATTTTTTTTTGGTTTTTTTAAATCAGAGAATGGGGTGGGGGGGGTTATCACTGAGAACTAGGATTCCTGATCATAATGCATAAGTACAAGGGGGGCAAATTAAGGTTACTTGGGCATGCACGCCTCATAGCGATTGTCCTCTTCTCAGGGTAAGGGGGGAGGAAGCCACTATCCAGGGCCGGCTCCAGGCACCAGCTTAACAAGCAGGGGCTTGGGGCGGCCAAGGGAGAGGGGCGGCACCTGCGGCAATTCGGGGGCGGCGGGTCCCTCACTCCCTCCAGGAGCGAAGGACCCGCCGCTGCACTGCCGCCGCCGATCGCGGTTTGTTTTGTTTTTTTCTTCCCCAATTGCCCCCAATTGCTTGGGGCGGCAGAAACGCTGGAGCCGGCCATGCCACTATCACACTAGAAAGTGTGGCATACCGCTTCTTGCCCTTACGGTGGGCTACACAATCCTGCACCGTGACCTAACCTGCCAGGTCTTTCTCTTGCACAAGCGGGGAGGGGGTCTGTCCCCCACCCTGACCCTTGGCCTTGCTTGCACGGATCCCTGGGGTAAACAGAGGCACAAGCAGAGCGAGGTGCAGCCCCTGGTGCGAGAGGCGTGGCCGCCCCTGCCCACTCCCGGGGCGGCTGGAATGTTTATTAGGTAAACACCCCATAGTGAGCGTTCTAGCCCCGCCCTCTTCCCCGGCGGCCAATCAGAGCCCGGGAGCAGTTTCAAGGTTCCCCCCCTCCACTCTGAGCGCCTCTGGCCTGATACAAAATAACAAAGCTTCGAACGTTGCCACAAAGTAACCGGGGGGCGCGTCCCCCCCCCCCTCCCCGTGCGCCGCCTTGGGCTGGCGGGTCTCCCCCCCCCACCCCGTGTGTTTTGCCCGGGGTTGGCGCTCCGCAGGTCGGGCTCAGCCTGCCTCGGGGGCCCGGGGAGCTGCTGCTGGTTGTTTATCTGGAAGAGGGAGGGGGAGCCTGGAAACCGCGCCTGTGTCCCATTTCCTCTGGTGTGTGTGTGTGTGTGTGTGTATGTGTGGGGGGGGGGGGGGGGGGGGGTTTTTTTTTTTTTTCTTTGCGCTCCAGCCCCGGATTCTCCATGTTGGACCCGATCTGAGAAGCCCGGAGCCGCTGCTCGGCTTGCATGCATGCATGCAGCCCACTCCAGGGCGTTTGCAGCTGAGGACCACCCCACCCCTCCTACACACAGCACCCCCGCCCCCACCTCCCTGGGCCTCTTCCTTCCCCCAACCCCCTCCCACCCAAAGGATCCCCTGGATCTGTGGGATTGTTAGATGGAAAGCGGTTCTATCATCACCCAAGTGCAGAGGGAAGAAGCCCTGGTGCTTGCAAAACAAGGTAAGGGAGAGAAAGTTAGAAACTTTGCAATAAGGAACAGGAGGCGTCTCTCTCCCCACCCCCCACTATCACCCCCACCTCCCCAATCTGTGCAATGGGGGGGAGCGAACTCCTGAGCTAGGCAACGTGGGGGCGAAGGGGCTGTTCCTGTTCTGTGCAAATGCGGAGGGGGCGTCTCTTGCACCCTTCCCCACTCGGGTTCGGCGCTGTCGAGCGACCTGCGTGGGGGGCTTTGCTCTTCCATCTCTGCAGCTACGCGGGGCCCTTCGCCTGCCGTCCCCCCCCTCCCCCTTTGCAAAAAGAGCCTTGGAAAGGGGGCGACTCAACCCAGATGCAAAATCCTCACTTGACCCTTTAAACGTGGTGGCGATTTTCTGCCTTTTCCCCTTCGCTGGTGGGTTTGTTTTTGTCGCTGTGATCGGCTCCCTCCCCTCCTTCCTCTTCTGTCCTGGGCGGCTGGGATTTGGGGAATTTTCATAAACATCCCAGTTATGTGGAGAGGAAGGAATGCCAGGGGCTCCCATGCGTTCCCACTCCCCTCCTCCCCCCTTTCCGCTGAGCCCAGCGCCTGGATGTGCTTTGCATTGGACACGATTTATTTTATTATGATTATTTTTTTTTTGCATCTGAGATCTTAAAACGTCAGGTTTGAGCTGCATTGCTTCCTACTCGCTGCTGTTTGTTCCGCCCTGCCCTTGTCTACACGTAGGGTGAGCAGACGTCCTGATATTAAGAGCTTTGTCTCATATAGGCAACTCCCCCCCCAAACCCCCCCCAAAAGTGTCCCAGTTTTTTCACACTTGCTATCTGGTCACCCTGTCTACAAGTGGGTGCTCTCACGTTGGTCTAAGGGACTGGATGTGGCTCTGTGCTGACCCCTCCAAGCAGCCTTTTCCCAAACCTGGCGTTTTCCAAGCTGGTATAGGAGATGTGGGGGGGGCAGTTCAATCCCAAACTGTCTCCTGCTTTTGCCATGCCACAGGCTGCTAACTTTGCAGGCTTTCCCCAGCATAGAGCGCCATGGTTTCATCATGGAAAAAACAAGACTGACCCAATGGGCTTTGCCAATTGCAGGACACTAGGATTGAAAGATCGATCCTCTTTGGCTTCTGTATGGAAAACCTAGCTGGAAACACGAACCGGTTTAAATGTGCCCCTTATTGGTAGCTCTGTAGTCCAGTTCTGCTTTGGTTTTTTTACTAGCCACTAGTTTCATCTACGGGCAATAAAACCTGTGCGATGGATTATTTTTTTGAGGGAGGGGGGAGGTTTTTGGAGAGATGAGATCTTGAAGTCAGCTGTGCAAAACTGTACTTGGAGACTGTGAAGTGCTGTGACTGGAGGAGTAGGAATAATTAGTCCATTGTTTATTGGGTGTTTCTGATTGCCCTGGTGATGCATTTGTTTGTGTGCAACAGAACATGGAATTGTCTCCTTTTTTTTTTTGAATGCTCTGGGGTTGCATGCGGGTTAATTTGGGGCCTCAGTTTTTCTCCAGTTCCTTTTCCCCACTGCCTCCATGTTCTTAAAGAGGCAGTGTTGTTCCTTTTAGGGCCAGAACTCTGAAAAAGTTCAGGGGTCGATTTATTTCCCTCCACCCACAGTTGGGCGCACATTTTCCAAAAGAGCTCCGCTCCAATTTTTAGGCCTCTAAATAAAGGCCCCTTTTTTCCCCAAAGTGCTGGGCACCTGGCAGCTTCTCCTCAATTTTTTTTTCTTCCAAAAGAGCCAACCACGCCATGCGCCAGCCGCTTCTTTGGGTGCCCGAATGAGAGCTGCACGCATGTTGGGTGCGCCCAGTGTTTTGAAATTGGCGAAACTGTGCAAAAGTCCAGTAGATTTTGCCCCTTGGACGCTAGAAATCAGCTACGTGCCCCACCGTGAGCGAAGGGAGTTTGTTTACCACCATTCCCTCTGGCTGATTGGGGCCTACCTACTGATTAGCTCTTGGCAGGAGTGCCAGAGATCTTGGAGGTGGCATTGGCTTTGAACTTGCGTTGCTGTTCTCCCCCGCACCCCACCCCCTTCTTCTTGGTGCCCTGGCTGATGCAGAAAGGTTTAATTGAATGCCAGCATCTAGTCGCTACTCTGGCTTGCCTTGTTTCAGGGAAATGGAGGCTCATGGCAGTCGCCCAGAGAAACACTAATTTGGGTGGAGAAATCCCTAGCAAACAAACAAGTTGGCTCTATTTGGAAGTTGGTCGTGAGGAGGCCTGTGTGTTCTTTCTCCTTTTGTCTCGGTGGGTGGCACAGTAAAGGAGATGAATAATTCTTAAGTATTTTACTAGTAAAACTTGATCTTGATAAGGAAGTGGAACAAGTGTTGTTTTTTGGAGAGCGATTAACTACAAGTCGGAGCGTGGGGGGCACGCGGCTTTGGATCCCCTCATTCCGTAGTTTGCTGTTGGACGCTGGCACAACCGGATACTGTTAGCAGTGCTGACTTTGGGTTTAGTGCAGACGAGATGAGTCCTTCCCCATTACTGAGCCCTTCTGGGTTGTGTGTGCTGATCATCCTTTGGATTTTTGTGGACCCCAAATGACCACTTCAAAGAGAAATTTCCCTAGTGTCTAAACTCCCTGTTATAATCTGCTTGATATGTCGTTGGCTTTTGACAGTGTAAATTCCTCTTAAAGTGGAGGTTTCTCTGCTTCTGTGTATGTTTGTTTGTTTTTTTCCTTTTGGAGTTTGCCCTCAGCAATTCATTAGCGAGGTTTCAAATAACTAGTTGTTGGACCTTCACAATTGCAGTGGTAGAGAGATCCCTCTTGATATTTGACCTGAGTTTTTCTCAGACCCCAGTCCTTCCCCGCATGATCAGCACGGAAGATAGTCACAGGATTGTCAAACCTTCTTACTGGAATTAGTTTAGAAGAACGCCACTTAATAGGAAAAAAATCATTAAGTCCTTAATTGTCTGATGAAATGATCCTTCAATTTTAGAGGTTTGGAATCTTTGCAGAGGAATTTTGGGGTCTTTTCTCAATTTTTTTTTTAATCTTGAAAATACAGACACAAATTTTAAAAAGGTATTCCCACTGTTTGTGGGTGAGATTTGTAGTTAAGGATAATTTATTGACTCGGTAGGAGCTGCTCCTGATACCTTTGGGATGTTTACAGAACAGCAAAGTTTTAATGGGTTTTTCTCTTCTTAGAAGCAGTGATTTATGTGTAAGCGGGAGAAAGCCAGTGAAATTCTCCTTTCTAGAGGATCTCTCTCTTTCTCTCTCCACTCTGGCTTTCAATGTTCAGTAACTTCCCAGGCAGAAAACGTATTTCCTCCTCTTCTATATGTTTCTTTGTGGTTTGAACACAATATTGCAACATGACGTTTAACTCAGTCAGCCGCGCTGGGACTTTGTCTGTGTGCATTTCCCCCCATTTCTAGGAACTTCCCAAACAGATTTTTTTTTTTTTTGCCTAAAGCAAATGATTCGTGCTGAAATGTCCCCAGAGCGGATCCTCGGGGAGGAAAGTATGTGTTCCTTCCATATGTCCTTAGGGAGTACAATATCTTCGGTACCATTGAGCTCAGTACCAGGGGCACACACGCCACCCCCTCCCCGGGTGGTTGGTGTTCCTAAAGGCTGGGATTGGGCAGGATTGCTTTTCCTGTTGAGTTATTCTCAGGGCTGGATTTTGATTGCTGCAAGAGATCAGGATTTCTGGTCGTGACAGCCATTTTTGGAGCCAGATCAAACAGCAACGTGCACTGCAAATTGCAGGGCTCAGGGAGGTAACTGACTGGGGTGCGTGAGGCCATTTTAAGATACATTTTAACCAGCCCTTTCAATCCGTTTACAAAATAATGGATCGGGAGCGGCATTGGTTGACCCCTCTTCCCTTAATCCCACAAAACAGCTTTTCTCTCTGATTTTATTTGTTGAAAGAGAGGCACCAAAAACCTTGTTTAGCATGAATCTGATACTGAAACGTGCTCCTTGCTGATTTTTGCAAAAGATCTACAGTTTGGAAACGTTTCTTAATCCCATTATAATGGATAGCTGTATTTGCCTGGGAAAACTAGGGGCGTAGAGAACATGATGCCAAAATGTCCAACAGGAAGGATTGTCTAGGGGTTAGAGCGGTAGCTGGGGACTCGGGAGACCCAGGTTCAATTCCCTGCTTTGCCACAGATTTGCATTGTGACCCTGAAGTGGGACCCACAAAGGTACTTAGGCATCTACACCCCCGATTTACATGCCTAAATCCCAGTTTTGGCTCCACTGCGATCCCCAAAACTCCTGCTGAACCCTGTAAGTTAGTTTTCAGGATAACGGTTCCCTCGACGCCTATGTCCTGCCTTTATGCAGGCGCACCAGTGTCTTCCTCTAGGCACCTGGACGCTTATGTCCTGCCTAAGCCCCAGAGCGATTAACGAACTGGGGGGAGATAGAGACACATCTGCCTATGTTGCATGCAGGGTCCAATCCGGTAGGCGTGCTGAGAAACTGCCTCCAGGATCGGGTCCCTGTCAGAATCCAACTAGAGGAGGAGGTGGGGATGGTTCCCACCTTAAATCGTTTCGCCCAGTGGTTAGAGCACGCGCTGTGGGAGAGCCAGGTTCAGTTCCCTCTCTCTGCCAGAGGGGGAGAACGGATTTGAACAGAGATTTCCTGAGCTAGGGGGTATTTTGATGTGGGGCTCCCTGAGGCCATGTCTACACTACAGACGCACAACTGTGTCGCTCTAGTGCCATAGTGTAGACGCTTCCTACATCAAAAGAAGGTTTTTTCCCCCCCATCAGTGTAGCGTATCCACCTCTCCAAGAGGCGATAACCAGGTTGGCGGAAGGAGTCTTCCTTTGAGCTAGTGGGGTTAGTTAAATTGACCGAACTGCGTCGCACAAGGCCTGACGTTTTTTCACAGCCCTGAATGACGTAACTAGGTCCATACCAGGCCTTAGTCCCTCCTGTTAAAGCTGTTCCACTTTGGTTAAATACTTAAGTCGTTGGGCCAGAGAGAGTCACTGTATAGGTCAGTGGTTAGGTGGGAGACA